TGAAAATTAAATTATTCAACGTCAAATATTTTCCTAAAACCAATTCTAAAGTAAACCTGCACTTAAAAATGTATACTTTTCCCAGTAACATTTAAATAAAGTCAATATTTTGTTATAATTGAGAAATAACTATCTTCCCATCATTTCATAATATAATTTTAAAATGTAGATTTCTCAAATCTTCAGCTTAATTCAAGTTCAAAGGAGTTAAAATTCACTGCATTTTACCAAAAAAAGTCATTGCTACATTGTCTAATACTAAACCCCCTTTACCTATATAAAACTGAGTGGATTTATATAATCATAAAATATTCTACAATAATTCTAAAATTGCGTACTATAACCTGAAATTCATAGAACTTATTTCATTACCCTTGACTGATGAGAATAACTATCACGCTATTTCATCTTCTCATGCCTATATTAAATAGGCCTTCAGAGGTAGCTGCTACTATTATTAAATCTAGATTTAATGTTTAACTAACACAATTCCCCTTTATTTTTCCTTTCTTAAGTGTGTAATGAATTCATGCCTCCACATTACTATGCTAATGCTACATTTTAATTTACTCTCCAAAATAATCAACCCAAGATATAATGACCATATATAGCCTGTTTGCTATATCTTCCAAAATAATTAAGAAAGCATATATCACTACTAGGTTTAAGGAGAGTAGGCAACTTGACCTTGAATCACTAATGTTTCATTTTATTTGTGAGCCATTTCATAGTAACTAACACCAAGGGTTTTCCTTAAAATTGCTCAACAGAGGAAAATATAATACCTAAAGTGGAAAATTCTTATCATAAGAGAAACAAGCTAACTCAATGAAGAAAAGATTCAATATTTGATGAAGTAAGACATTTAAAATATTTAAAATATCTTCATATAGATATTTGAAATCTATAGTCATGGGTTCTTTTTAAAAATTATTATTATATAATATGAAGTCTTAAATCTTTAAGTCATAATACATGCATTTAATAGACAAACCCAATGGTATTTATTGCACATACATAAAATATACTAGACATTTTCATACTCAGATTTTGCATTATTTTCCCAAGTTTCCTTTTAAAACTATGATTTCTTAATATCTGATCCTGGACATTTAATCATTCAATTCAATTCCATGTGTGAGAGGGGAAAAAAGGATTTAAGAAACCAAATATTTCCTTTCCAAAATTCCAAAGTAGAAAAGAGAAGAAGTCATCTACGTAGAAACAGGAAGGGCAGGAAATATATAAAAGCACGGGCTTTCTCAACTGCCTTTCTTTTCTCCCCTAGTAAAATTGAACCTCATCCCCTCGCTCCTTTCAACCAGGCCCAGTGTTAGAAAAGCCTTCTTCGGGAATACATCACAGGGCTAGAAAGTGCTCTTCCACCAAATCACAATTGGCATATGCATACGTTTGTAGTTTGTAAAGCATTCTAGGTAATGTTTCCGTATCTCTCAGGAACGAATACCAATGTCAGCGTCAGGATATTTACCATAACGTGTCATTTAAATCTCTCAGGATTCAATACAGATCCATTTCTTTTCTTTTCTGCTCTCAATAAAAACAGATTAACTGATCGCTATCTTATCTGTGTCATATTTGTTTAAACACTTAACATTTGCTTTGTTACTGATCCCCTTTTCTTCTCAATTTGCAGTCCCTCAAACCTTTTAGACTCTCCTCAGATATGCTATTTTCCAAAATGTTAATCTCTTTACTTTATTCAGAATCTCCTTTAAATATCTTGGTCTCCAGTTTGCAACGATCTTCTAATCGAGACTCAAAGAAATGTGAAACAGAGACATTTCAATTTCTCTACTCTGTTGTTATAATCTGGTATTCAAGTCAACATATTTAAATATTTGTTTCTGTAAAACACCACGAAGTTAACAGAAGATTATATTTCAATAAGAAGATATAATGAGATATATCAAGCACTTAAAAAATATTAGATGTGGTAAGAACTCCGAAGATAGTAAGAGAAATCATATCCAAGGAGAATATATCCTAAGTAAATTGTCTTTTTTGCTTACACACTGATATATTTTAGCTATATTTGCTTTCCCCATGTTATCAGAGAGAATAACTAGCTATTATATTATAGTTAACTCAAGTATACTGCACTATTTATTCAAACTATATAAAATTTTATAACTGGAAAAATTAATCTTTGGCTAGAGCCCAGGACAAAAACTAATCTTTGTCTAGGTAACCCCGTGAGTGGCAGTAACTGAAAGGGGACAGAATGGTGGACTTTTTCAGATGTCAGTGATGTTCTGGCTACTAGGGTCAGTACTCAGTTAACGTGCTTCCAGGTGACACAGGAGTGTTCCCTTTCTGGAAACTTCTGGAGTTATCCATTTGTGATTTTTGTACTTTTCTATATGGGTATGATGTGCATGCCATGCCTGTCCAATATACATATCATGTATTAATCAAAGTTTTAAAATAAAGATGGGTTTCCATAAACAAACTTGACTTGAATCATGAATAAAATTAATTATAAATGCAAATAAGAGTTATGAGAAAATTATGGAAGTTTGAACAATGACCAGACAATGAACAATAGCAAGAAAATTTTCAAGGAGAGAGAGTATTCTTCTGGTTATGCTAAACTTTAGTAAACCTGCTGAAATAGTTATGGATTAAACAGTAAGGTTTCTGGATTTGCTTTACAAAATCTGAATGAAGAGGAAGTATTTAGCTTCTGGATGAAACAAATTTGGCCAAGAATTGATAATTGTTTAAGCTGGAGAATGTGGAGAGTTTAGTAAACTATTTCCTTTTTTGAACAAGCTTGAAATTATCCATCATTTCAAATGTTTAAAAACATAACTTAGTAGAATGTATGGGTTCTACATAATATTGTTCTCTGTTACCATTGTTCTTATCAAAAAGACTGAGATAAGTCAAGAACCAAGATATATTCCCCGAGGACAGATCTAGATTCATGACCTCCAATGCAATCATCTGATCAACAATTCTATGGTAAATAAAACTTGAAGCCACATTGCTACTCATTAGCAAGGGGATTAGTTCTGGCATCAGATTTATTAAAGATGAAAAGTACAATAATCCTATAGGTCAATCTCTAGGTTTTCTACATATTTCTAAAAATAAACTGAAAGCAACTGTCAAACTATAACATTAACTTTCTTATCTGAGGACCTACCACCATTTCAATTAAACCTACACGGGAAGTATTTTATCTTAAATACACCATCAAGTGTACATCATCAAGACATCTTGCTACGTATACTTTATCTATTGTTGCCATTTATGACTTAAAAAGTTCCTATCATATGCTGCCCTTTGAGACAAAGCCCAACAGTGTTTAGTTAGGTATAAGAGAAGCGTCCTACCCTATTTCTTTACACAGGATGATTAACAATATAATCCAGGAAATATACATTTGATATTGAGTTTATTTATGTATTACTTCTAGGCTTAAGTTTTTCTTACCTTTCAAACACTCATTTTGGAAATTTCTGACAAAAACATTTACAAATATGCTTTTTATGGAATAATACAGTAATTATGCAAATTTCAGCTGAAACATAGTTACTGGCATATATATGAATCTTGGAATATTTGATGACAAACTAATGTCAATTTTCTACTCTGTATAAATTATACAGTTAAACATCCAACACAAGTGATATTAGAATCTTGTGTGGGATTCTAGTTGACATCAACAGTAAAAAAGAAAAAAATGCCCTACTGATTACAACATTTTTATAAGCAGTAAAAATAATGTCTTCCTTATAATATAGACATCTAATTTCTCTAGAGAGTCATGGTTAATTTCGCTACATTATGCAATATAAACTGGTCCTCAAAAGTACATCTAGTAATTTAAAAAAATAAAGGAACAACCAAACTTGATTGTATCACTCATCTGTTCCTCAAAAAGCACTACATTATCATGCTAATAGCTTCTGATAATGAAGTAGCAGTTAATTAAATAAATTTACTCTTATGTTAAGCACAATCCTTGTTTATTCTTTCTCTGGAAATTGATAGATACAATTAAAAATTAAACCTAAATTAAAAATATAATGCTTCTCTATGGGATACATATATGCATAACTGTATCCATACAACAGAAACATGAAAATAGAACACAGAAAATATATTTATAATCACTTGTTGAACTCAATGAGTTAAAAGCTATGCTTGATGATTTAGATAGCACTTTAAAGTACAGATTACAAAACTTTTATTGAAATAAAGTTCACACATAATCTTTTAATCCCTACATTGAAAAATAATCTATCTCTAGGAGAAAGAAGTGCCTAGAAGTTAAGTGCCTAGATAAAATGTATAAACATAAAGTTGTGTATTGTACCAAATAATAAGAAATAAAGACCTGATTTTTTTTCCTGTAAATTTTATAACTTATGACTTGTTTTTACTCATGTCATTTTGTATGTGATTACATTTTTGGGTTCAATCTTTCAAATCTTCTATACTGTCCCCACCTAAACTGATGTAGATTATTAGAAATCATTAATGCAGTAATTAGGGAGTCTTATTGGACTTTAACATAAAACTTCCAAGATTATTATTATTAATGCTATTTGGGAAGCACTAAGTGGATCTACATTATGCTGAGTTTAGTCTTGACTCAGTAGTATTATCTAATCTTGAAAAATGAACCTTATGGTTCAAAACAGTTTCTAAACTACATTGTCTAAATGATGCTATCTAATTTCTATTAAAAGGATTTCAGAAGACGCAGACTCACTCAAAAAAAGTCTGGCACATTGAGTATTGAACAATGTTTAATGGTATTTATAAGCAATTGAACTTGTAAATTCCAGACTTATATACAATATCTTTATAAATTAATGCATTTAAATTTTGACCCATGATCTTCAGAATGATGAGGCAGGAAAATTTCCCAAGTAGATAGTCCTTTTGATTGATAATTCTATTTATATTTTAATTGATAATCTTCCTTTGTTAGGCTCACATGATGGACAAATACTTATATGGATTTACTTCCAATGTACAAAATAAGAAAGAGGATGAAAATGATCTGTAATATAAAATGAGGTATATAAATAATATTAATATGCTAAACATTAATTCAATAAAATGCAAAGTGTGCACAAAAAGAACGATTTTATGTAGATAAAGAATCACTTACTAAGCAGTGTAAAACATTGAATAAATATATAAATTAATTTTATTAATTGTCTTTTCTGTATGACCTTAATATTTTATTTAACCATATATCAATGACTTGAAAAATGCAATTAATAACACACACACAAATACCTCCTACCTGGGAACTAAGTAAGAAGAAGTGATTATAACAGAGCAAAGAAAGGAAAATATACTAGCTTTAAAAAATGTGAAAGATGAGAGCTTATGTGTGAAAGCTGCTAGTAAGTAAAACGTATTGTTTTACAGATCTCGTAAGAAAGGGGAGCAATTAAATTTCTAAGAGAGTTAAGAAATTAAGAACAAATATAGTTATTCCTTAGGATCTGAATACAATTCTTTGAATAAATCAAAAGAAATTTAAAATCTTAAAGTATTAAAAAAATCATATTTCACAAAACACCTTGGTTAGGTGTATTTCAGTATTTTGAATGAGTTCAAACTCTGTTTTCCCTCATAAAAGTTTATAGACACTATTTAGAGAGAAATATAAGCAATTTAAAACATGTTTTATTAATTGAAAAAAGAGAGTTTGCCTGTTGTTATTCAGTTGCTAAATCATATCCAACTCTTTTGTGACCCCATGAACTGTGTCCCACCAAGCTTCTCTGTCCATGGGATTTCCCGGGCAAGAATACTGGAGTGGGTTACCATTTCCTTCTCCAGGGGATCTTCCCCACCCAGGGATCGAACCCCTATCTTGTGCACTGGCAGGCAGATTCTTTACCGCTGAGCTACCAGATAGTTTGCCTAGAAATATCAAAACTGTGTGTAGTTATTTAGTTGTTCAGTTGTGTCCAACTCTTTTGTGACTTCACGGACTGTAGCCTGCCAGGCTCCTCTGTCCATGGGATTTTCCAGACAAGATTACTGGAATGGTTTGCCATTTCCTTCTCCAAGAGATGCCAAAACTGTGTGTAGACGTGTGTGTAAATTAAAATACGATGACAGCATTAAAGAAAAGTTGGTTACTTTAATAAAACTTACTCATCCATTAATTCATTTCCCATCACATAATTACTTTGCACTTATAATATGCATAGTTGCATAATGAGTCTAAATATGCCAAGAGAGTATTGGCTACTAACTAGTTTCACCCAAAGGCACAAATTTTTAAATGACCAAGCACTGCTGTCTAAATAAGTAAAAGGCAAATTGTCCACAGAAATTGCCAGATGTATAGATTTAAAATGAACTGCTCTGTTTTATATCTGTACCTCAGATGATTTTTATAGCTTTCACTTTAAATCATATTAGTTATGGAAGATCATTACTCAACAACTAAAGGAGAAGAAACAATATCATCTTATAACATCTCACTTATCTAGAGTATTGGAAGATTCCAGTCAGCTGCTGCATCAGTTAACTGGAAAAATGATATGAATTGTGAATAGATTACCATTTTTCAAAACAGTGCAATATTGTAAAATTCAGTGAACACTGAATTCTAACAGTGGATATATACAGAATATGAACTAGGGTCAGGTTTCTTCTGATCCTGAGTCATCATACATTTCCTGCTCACAGAGTTGAGGTGAGTACTTTTTTGACTATGAGAGATTAATTTATAATTACAAAATAAAAGAATTTAATGGAAAAATAGAAAGGCTGGTGTGATTCAAAGACCAGAGGTTTGTCACAAAGAGATAAACTAAAAAAGTAATAAATTAGGCTCACAAATCTAGATGTATTCTTATGAAGATTAGTGAGAGAACAAAAATCTCAGAAATAGGATTTTTTTTTAAATGCAGCACAACTTGAAGAAAAAGTGAACAGAAACAAACATAGCCATTTTAAAAAAAGGAAAAAATATTGAAAAAGATGTCCACTCATTTAGCAATGTATGGACCTAGAAACCAAAAGTGTTAAAAAGGCCACATATAAAAATACCTTGTGTGGAACGTAATATTTGGTAAAGTGATGTTATGTTTATGACATTAGAGGGACATACAAATCCCAAAGAAAACACTATACATGGATATGAGGGTAGTCTGTACTGCTCAGAAAAGTCATTTTATTTTGAATTCTATATATGCTCCTACACAATCTTGTCTTCAACACTCAGAGGGCAGACTAAAATAATGAAAGGACTGGAAAAGGTGTGCTTCAATAAAATATACTCTACAATTTAAAAAAAACTAAAATCTTAAAGTTCTAGGTAGAAATAATATAGATACCAAAAAGAATTTTTCCTAAAATGATGGTCACCAATGAAAAGTATAGGCTAAGGTGACAGCAATATTTTAAATGCAATGTTTCCAAATTCTGACATCTTTTCTTAATACTGTGTTATGTATGATTTGGGTTGAAATTTCAAAAGGACTCCAAAGTAGGCAAAAACAAAGTTAAGTCAGGAGACAGCTAGAGTGATTTTTTGACACGTCTGGACCACTCTAAATGTTATTTGATATGAAAACAGAATCAATTGCAACACTTTTCAATAGATGGTTTCCTACAGTCCTAGGATCGTAGAAAATATCCTGGATTTAGGATTTTTAAAAAATCATGATATCAATGTAGGCTTTTTCACTCTATTCAGAATAATTTATTTTTGTATGATTCTTTAAACAAATAAAAGAAATATTTCACAAGCACATTTTAGATGAAATTTCATTAGTCATTATCTTATAATTGTCTTCAATTCTTAGGGAACGATTATGTTTTTGCCAAGAAATCAACAGGTTTCCAAAACACAAATCCTTATATCTTTAGTACTGTATTGTTTAGCCTGATTTAAACTGAAAGATATACTTGCTTCCAGACGAAAAAAAAAAAAATCTGGAGAGAGAATGTCAAAATGTGAAGCCAAAATTATGAGCAAGAAAGATTACAAAAATAATATTAAATGAAAGTGAAGTCGCTTAGTCGTGTCCGACTATTTGCGACTTCTTTTTGTAGCCTGCAAGGCTCCTCTGACTCATTTGAAAAGACCCTGATGCTAGGAAGGATTGAAGGTGGGAGGAGAAGGGGAAGACACAGGATGAGATGGTTGGATGGCATCACTGCCTCAATGAACATGAGTTTGAATAAAACTCTGGGAGTTGGTGATGGACAGGGACGCCTAGAGTGCTGCAGTCCATGGGGTTGCAAGGAGTCGGACAAGACTAAGCGACTGAACTGAACTGAACTGAGGCTCCTCGGTCCATGGGGACTCTCCAGTCAAGAATACTGAAGTGGGTTGCCATTTCTTTCTACAGGGGATTTTTCCCAACCCAGGGATCGAACCTGGGTCTTGAGCACTCCACGCAGACTCTACCGTCTGAGCTACCAGGGAAGTCCCCAATATTAAATATATTAGTTTAAATATTGGGCTTTTCTAAATTACATTAACAATGTAACTTTTTCCAGTTATATTCTTGAACTTAAATTATTTTTATGTTCCTTATTTGCTTAGACTATCTAGATTAGTTTATGTTTAACTTACCATGTCACTTGAAACACATGTTATTTTTAAATAACATGTCTATAGTTTTAAAGAAATTATTGACTTCCATATGAAAGAATATAAGGAATTTTAAACTCCAGAGAATATTTTTATTTCATTTTAGCAAGTGTTGAAAACAATGATTAACTTTTATTAAAAGTTAAAGTTATATTTTAATATTTTTTATTGTTCTAGTAAAAATTAAAGGTAAAGCTAAGCTAAAATTTATTAACATTTTAAGATTAAAATCTAAACACTGTATGACCATACTCTATATGTTTAAATTTATTTTCTCAATCTTTCAGTGTATTCCTTTGATCCTTACTAGAGTATTAGAAATCTACAACATAACGAAAATAAGAGAAGGCATGCTCGTAAAGAGCTCATGACTAACGGTGTTAAGTATTAACAGATATGTTCAAAATTACTCCTGATTAAAAAAAGTAAGTTCCATTTCATTAAGTGCATTATATATACACTCTTCATGGATCTTTTCTTACACATTGAAAAAGGAGGAAATAAAATTGAATACAGGTAGTTTTTTAGAAACACAAAGTATATTTTTTAAACATGTATATACACACTTTGTGTAAAAGTTGTTTCCCTCCAATTTGTAATTTTAACTCTAGCAATGAGAGGTGGAGAAATGGAAAGTTCTTGGGTGCAGACAATGACCTCATTTGTATTATTAAGCGTATCACCATTTCCCTGGGATTATTTGTAAATGATAGTACTAGCCTCATAAGGCTTTTTTTAGGGCTTCACAAAAGTAAATATACAGCTACTTTTTTTAACATCAAAATGTACATTATGTTCATTTAAAAACTAAATGTATGTTTAGCAAAAGTAAAACTGCTTTCTCAAGAATTATTTTAACACTCTGATTTTTAAAAAGGTATTTAGTGCTAATTTTTAGTTTATTTAGTAACATAAGGGATGCACTTTTCAACTTAGAAGATGAGAATATTTCCATTCCTGATGATAAATGATACACATATTAACAGCTACCACTATGTGAATTTGGGGGCAAAATAGCCAGGAATGGATGGTTCTGATTTAGTTTGTATGGTTAGATTAAGCATAAAATTGACTATTCCCTATTAAGTCAGAGGCACAAAGTAATTTTAAAGATAACTGTGTGTCTAAGATGACATTAAACACTGGAAGTTAAAAAAAGTTCAGATATCACTAAAGTTATATGAAGAACTGAGGAGAGTATAAGTAAAACCAGCAAAATAGCTAATTTTCTGCTTCTTTTTCATCCTGGTCACACTTTACCCCAAACCCTAAATTTTGAGCAATGTGAGCTAAGCTGACTAAAACAGAAGACATAAATTGCTATTAAAAATTAATTGATTAAAATACACATCTGGATAATATGCAAAAAAATCTTAATTTTCCTAGTAAAATAATACATGCATTCTTTGATTTCTAGCAGCACATATAACTGATAACATATTTCATAATCCCTGAAATCAAGGATCTAAGTGAAAATACTAGACTCCTAAAGTAGAGACACTGGCATTATAATATACGCAGCATTAAAATTTTTATCAACAAAAAATGTTACCATGATTTTTAAAATTAAAAAGAAAAACTAGTCAGTAGAGAAAGACTTTTATAGATGTTCAAAATTTCAGTTCTGTAATGTAAATGTAACTTCATCAAGGTTGGTATTCACTAAGAGTTAAAGAGGGTGAACTGATTTCTCACTATATTTAATGCAGAATTACCAGTTAATATATGCTAACAGAAAATATTATATATTTATTTATAAATACACATTTGAATTACTCTGAATCATATACACTTTGAATTTTTGCCTTGACATTACTGGTAATATATTTCTGTAGTATGTATTCTTAGTTTAAGTGAAACACTAGTGAGAATATGTTGTTTTAAATTTGGAAAACTTTGGTAGGTAAAATTTTAAATCCAGAATTTAGTTTGAGGGGCAAAGAGTGAATCATTGTCCTTATTTATTAAAATTTGAATTTAAGCTGCTTTAAATCATAGTGTATGTGGATGTGTAAGTTAGACATTAGGACTTTAGCATCCAAATTACATCTATAAGAGATTTTGTTAGATAGTTCAACAAAATACTTTCTTTAAGTATTTGTGCCCTCATATTTCATAACTCTATAAAATGAAGCAAAACAAATATCAATAATTTATAGAGAGGCATAATTATTTGGTTCTGAAATGCTAACATACTATGTCATTCTGGGGTAATGGTATTCCTAAGTAATTTGAAAAACTGAATGCAATCCTTCTAAACAATTTGATCATTGTTGCTATCAGAATGCATGTATTCAATGGCAGATTCACATTTTTAATCGTAAGATAATAACTAACTCTTATTATCAATATCCAGAGTTGTAGTCATATCCTTATCCTCCATGTATTTAATCCACGACTTTCATATTTGCATAAAAGGGCTAAATTCTTCTAGTTTTTTCTTCCATTTAAGTATGTTTTTCATCCCACTTCATAAGTCATAAAAGAAATGATATATCTGCAGTGGCTCATTTTTGTTTCTAATTTATAGTTCCATTATTTTTATTTTTTGCACTGGAAGATGAAAGTAAGAAAATGACATGTACCTTGGATTTGCTGTACAAGATAAAAATCATCTTTTGATTAAGTTTTTATAATTTCCATTCTTATCAAATATTAGTTGACATGGTTTGATCAAAATATTCAATCATCAGTGGTATTTAACTATTAACTAAAAAGTAAAGATTCCTTTATAGCAGAGAATAAATGGAATGATTTCCTTACAAAGATCCTCAAATAAAATATACTAAATAATCCTAAAGCATTTGTTATTCAACTGGTTGTATAAAATAATCCACTTAGAGACTAGGGTCCCAGAATCGAAAGAGCTAAGTACAATTATCAAACTCTCAATATTAGAAGAAGAACCTATTGTTGTAAATAAATGAATACTATTGCTGTATTGATATGCTTTCATCATGTAGTTCCTCTGATTCTGATAAGTGACTTGAATCCATGCCAACATATTACTAAACTATGCAAAATTATCAAACTGATGGCTGCAATGTACTCTGAACTTAGCCTAACATGTTTAATGTCTTTATGGGGAAAGGATGACTAAGCAATAATGCTGGTATCAATAAGAAAACAAAATTTCTCTGTGAATTGTGTCAAGAGATGTTTTTCCACCTTACATAAGCCCTTCAAAACACATGGAAGTCAAGTAAACATGTGAGCAATATTCAAAGGAAATATGAAGATCATTTGAAAAATGTTTTCAACAACATCAGAAGTTATGTTTGATTTAATCTACTAACCCAGGAACCTGTCTTCCTGTTAAGTATATTCATTTTTGTATTGTAAAGTGCTGCCTGCATCCCGGAGTCACTTTTATCTTTGTTTTTGAAAACAACCTGAATTCTATTTTTACTAAGAAGAATGGCATGTTGAACTTTATTTCCTGAAAGGGAAGACTTTGATACAGCCTTTTATGTAATACTTACTCAAATATGGTGGTTTGTAAGGCGCTCGTGTATTAGACAGCAGTCCATCCAGTTCCTTCCTCTCCAGGGTGCTGTGAAGGGCCTTCTCTTTGCCGAAGGTGGAGAAGGACCTCTCCGCCCCGGGCTGGGCTTCTGGAGTTTCAAACACTTCAGTGTCTGGAACGGAGTCCATGCCAGGAACATGCAGATTGCTACGATAATCAGCGGCCTGGCGTCCATCAGAAGGGACAAAGGAGGGCATCCAGCACCGATCTGAGTGGCCAAGCGCTTTACATTCCTCGGTGCAGTTGGAGAAGAGATCCATACCTGTGAGCAGAAAACAGAAGCTACGGATGGAGGCTTCAGCAACACGACCAGCTGCCTGTGTATGTGCTCAGTTGCTCAGCTGTGTCCGACTCCTTGCGACCCTGTGAATTGCAGCCCACCAGGCTCCTCCGTCCATGAGATTCTCCAGGCAAGAATACTGGACTGGAGTATTACTCCTTACTAATACTCCAGTAATACATACCCTCCTCCAGGGAATTTTCCCAGTTTAGAAGTGAAAAATTACAGGCGATGTAAAGAGTAATGGGTAAAGGTATCTTAACAGAGTTTTCTTGTGTTAACCTGACAGGAGCCCCAAATCGCTTTCTATTATTTGGTAAAGGGTAGGACTCTTGGCACACAGGGCTCTGAGATAGATGTTTCTAAACTGGTCAGGATGTTGAGGGAAAATATTAACTCTAAATTATTTAAATAATTGGAAAATAGTGAGAATGAATATTAAAAAAAAAAAAAGAAAATCTGAAATTTGTAACAGAAAAAATAAAACCCAAGTGGAAAAGCCTTCATTACCTGTAATTTCTAATGATGACAAGTCATATTTTTTTCCTTAGAGACAAAAATGGAAGAAATATGGGAAGCGTGAGTGATATTTAGATAATAAGATCTAGACATGAAATAAAAAGTGAAATTCAGCAGAAACATGGTATACATATCGATATACCAATAAATAATAAGAATAAAACAAGAGTGGCCAAGAGCATGCTTTTTAGGTTCTTAGAAAATGACTTCCTACAAGTTATTTTTCAGTGACACTCTTGTAGTCCATATTACTACAAACTGCTTATCATTTAGCACTCAGACAAGCCCAGAACAAATGACTGTAATTAGTGAAACCAAGGTAACCAAGTGCAAGGTGAGTCAGCTGCAGATGCTATTGACGAAAACCTTATTACTTGTTCTATATTGGAAAACAATTGTCCCAGACAACACAGAAATATTTGCTTACTGATCCTAGAATACCCAGATTTCAAATGACATCTTCAAGTTTCATTGTCTCCTGTAGGCTGCCAAGAACATTAAACTGATATTTATGACCCAAGAAAGCTCACTCAGTCTCTTAAGCAAAATATCATTTTGGAGCACTACAGAATACTATCTGTTATTCAATTTGATAACTAGCGTTATGTAAAAAAAGTAAGCACACAAACAAAAATCACATTTTAATGTGTTTCTAGACAGAGCAATGTGTTTATTAAATATGTTTAAAAATAGGATCAATTAGAAATAACCAAAGAGTGATTATTCCATATGTCAGAAACTCTCAAATGCATGAAATGCCTGGTGTGGAAAAACCACAGATTATTTTTTTAATCAAGAGAGTGTAATGAAAACACTTGATTGTTTCTTCTATAAATATTATGAGTGATTTGAGCTCTTGAGCAAGTTTTAGTTTGTAAAATGCTGACAATCATTTACTTTTTATGTGCATATTTTAACAGCTCTTTATATAATACAAAGAAATCAATTTTTCATAATTACTAAGCCCCCAGATTATCCTCAAGTATTTTGGAGTTTAAAACAATTAATTATGTAAATTGTTTAAAGAAATAACACCAAACTTCTTATCATATATTAATCTCATGTCATAATGACTTTTTAAATTTTAAATTAAACTGTGTATAATGCTGGGGCTTTCCAGGTGGCTCATTGGTAAAGAATCTGCCTGCCACGCAGGAGATGCAAGAAAGGGGAGTTTGATCCTTGCACTGAGATCTTCTCGAGAAGGAAATGGCAACTCACTCCGGCTTTCTTGCCTGGGAAATCCTAGGCAAGAGGCATGGGCAGAGGAGCCTGGCAGGCTACAGTGCATGGGGTCACACTGAGTCTCACAGGATTTAGCGATTAAATAGCAGCAGCGGCAGCATGTATAATACTAAATCTGACTTCGATTATAATAATCTATTGATAATTGTCATACATAAACCCAGAAGTAAATCACTGATCAGTGTATTATTGAGGAACATAAACGTGAGTTGAAGCTGGGATAAGGAATCAGACAAAGATCAGCAAGTAAAACAGGTCAACTATTTTCTAGACACCAGGGAAGTTAAATTATCCTATTCCTATAAGGAGATGGGCATTAGGGGGGAAAAAAAAAAAGAGGAAGGGAAGAAGAATATCCCCGATGCACACTGACACAGCAGGTAACTAGAAGCTATAGAACCAGAGAGATCTGTATTTTGATGCACTGTACTTTAAACACTCCCAATTTATAGTGTGATAAGGAATAAAAGGTCTTTTTGATAGATGGAAGTACCATTAAAAGTCAATTATGAGCAATTATTTTAAAAATACATTTATATCATATTAAATTTGAAGTTGATGGAAAAATTCAAATATTAAGATAGAATTATATTACCAGATCCTGATAAAGATGGGTACTAATGCAAAATTTGGAATTAATACAATTTTTCATCACATAACTGATGAAACCCTTTCAAATACACCTCATGAGACCATTAATATTATTTCACATCTTTTTGAGCACTGTACCCAAGAATTCTTATAATTCTCAATATGATAATCACACAGAAAAAATTTAGTGATCTATTCTCTGCATTATCTTTAAGATATTTGAAGGTACTTTTAGGAGATGTTAGAAGGTACTTTTATGGGATGTTAGAAGGTACTCTTATTAGAATTTGTCTTCATGGCTAGTTGATACTCAATTGTGCTAAATTTCTTCTCTTGAAGTGTATGGTTTTCTGCCTCTTTGCCTTATTAGACGCTAGTTAAAATTCCCTTAGATGATGAAATAAAGTTCTCTGACTTGAAAACCTGTACAAAAAAATTATGTGCATAACAAGAAAAGTGAGAAACATGATAAAGTTTTCTGTTGGATAAACAGTGTTACCTGCCTGAAAGGGGAACAACACTTGTACATAATGTTCCTCATAAATTTATGAGCTACTCCTTTTAAAGTGGGATCCCCATAGTGATAATACAGCTTTATGTAAACTACAAAGAGAGGGAAGATGGCATTAATATGTTTCACACGTTTTACCGACAAAACAAGTGTACTAATTTCTCACGAGGAAAATATCAGACGTAGAAACAATTTTTTTAATCACGTAAAAAGTATATCAATAAATTTCATAAGTTTTAGAAGTATTCATTGAAAAAAAATTTTTTTTTTTGTCTCAAATGTATAGTTTGAGAACCAAATAAACTGTGCCCATTACCTGGCCTCACCTTAGGGAGCACTGAAAGACGAAAATGACTTTATCTTTTTTCATATATCACTAGTCCCCATTAAGTATATTATTTTAATGACCAGACAAGCAGAGGTATGTTTAAGTTTTGTGGCGGTCAATGACTGCACAAAGGACCGGAATGCCAAGTATTTCTGTACAAGGGACATTTAAAAATGCGTATTATTCACACTGCTTTGGAAATTTTTAACATCTCAAGTTGCAGGCCCAAGAGAAAATAACTTCAACTGTCATTTTTTCTTCTCATTCAAATGCCCTTATTTTAGAACCCGTGAGACTTGTATAGCAGAAAACTACAGGCCACACCTGAGTTATGAAGTTTTGGTTATTCCTAAGAAACATTTCAACATATAGATTTTATTTGCAATTTCTTGCAATTTATTTTTTTCCCACTTCTCAGAAATGGTCTGTTCTACATGGCACGACAGCTGAAGTGATAGACTGCCTGTTATATAGAGATATATTTAGACAAATTTTAAAATACATCTTTTTACACTAGCAAGTAACTTGATCCCTTATAGTCAGAGGCTGTGATATTACCACTGAGAACAAACTGTGGTTTCAAAAATGTAATTATAGTCAATTTGTTCTGTTTTCTGATGAATTCAATACAATAAAATTACATGGACCTTTCTCATGTAACAAGCCTTCAAAAAATGTACTTTTCCCCAAATATGATAAATTAGTTAAAAAATCAACACACATGTTTTTGAGAAAATTTTAAGTCTTCTTTTAATTATTTAACACTGGAGAAATTAGAGATATTAACAATAATCACCAAAATTTCTGTAGTTTTTGGTTTGGTTTGGGAGGATAGATTTTACAACATAATTCATCTATGAAAAAATCAAAACATGCAGATCAAAATTTTCTCACTACCTAACATATTTCAATATGTTTATATTTTTCTCCATTTTCTCTTAATATTTGTCTTATATCTTTTTCAATTGTAAGTGTCTCTGCATTACCTAGTTGTAGCTCTTATTTTCACCAGAAACCTGGTGAAAAAGAAAAAAAGCTTTTGCTTATTCAGATTATGGTATAAATTCACCTTATTTATAAAGCCAGAAGCTAATTACCAGTATCTAAATTCTTTTTTGAGTTGAGAAAGGGAAATTTTTAACTTTATGATAGGCCGAAAATTCTTATTGATATTGCAGTAGTAGTACAATGGCTTAATTTATTTCATGATATATGTTGATCTACTAGTATGAAAACACTGACAATATAAATCACTTTTTAAATTTATACTCTAGTTTTGAACATGTGTCATGTACAAGTCTCATAATAGTTAAGAAATAAACACATTTAGAAGCTAAGCTGTCTTTTAAATAAAAGAAAATTTAGAAAAAGAGAAATTTGAAAATTTTCAGGTAGACTATAACAAGTAACATTAACTTATGAGGGTTTTCTTCTTCAATATACATTTTAAGAAGGTCAATTATTAAAAATAAATTCAAATTTAATCTTAGTGTGACATTGTAAGTACTTAATAAATGGGGGGGAAAAAACAACTACTTACAGCTAAATAGATCTTAGATCTACTCCGATAATACTAAAATGTTTAAGAGTATACAGCTAAAAATGTTGTATCAGTATTTAAATCAGACCAAAAAATCTACCTTTTAATCTAATGGTATTATAAAATTGAACATGTACTAGTTTTAAGTTCATTTTGGCTTTGTTTTTTTTTTTGGCTATTTACGCTGTGATTAATTTAGTTTCTCCCCTTGTGATGGTTTATGCAAGCATTTACCACATCTCCTTGGACTTCTGCCATACCTACCCAATACATCAATAGTGCACTGAAATAAACGGAAAGCACCTTGACAAGCCTATAGAAAGAAAGTGCCACAGACCAGTGGTCACGTCGAGGAATTCCACCCATGGAGCCAGGTGCAGTGGAAAACTGAAAAAGCTTATGTGATTCTCTGTGCAGCTGCCTCCGTGTTTAAAGCCCTTCTATGAACAAGATTGGTGACTGCAAATGGCTTAGAGAGGAGAAAAGCAAGTGGGGAGGAGGGAGAAAGAACAAAAAAGAAAACTATTCATAGAAGAATAAACGCAAGGCATATCCAAATAAATAAATATAAATTAATGTTAACACAGAAAATGAAAGCGGGAATAAATAAAGACTTAGGGAGTTTAAACAGGTGAAGAACTAAGCTAGACAGTGTATACTATGTAACATGAAATGAGGTACAAACTAGAGAATTCAGAATTCATATCTTTTCAGTGTTGTTTTTCCATGATAGTCGAACTTTCCCCTTTAAAACCTAAAGCTGAGTGGGATTTGCTTATTAGCTCCAAAGTTTTCCATATCCTAAACCTGGAAACAGATGTGCTATGAAGAATATTCTCTAAATATCGCAAAATTGGAAGATCATCAATACCTAGTTGTACAAGGAAATAAAGCAGATGTACCTGTTTGCCTGAGATAGGCTTAAATTTTAGGAAATACTCTAGCTCCTTGGTGTGAAGTTAATAGTACACAACAAAGAATGGACTGGAAAAAAGTCATTAAGTAAAGGCATCTTAATTCTCTGCATTTAGGGTTTTATACTTTAAAAGGTAAACAATGCAAAATCATTTTAACAATAAAACTAGATACATTAAATCTGACTGCAATTCAGCACACAAATGTGTAATTATTTCTTAATACAAATGTGTTAATACAATTCAAAAACAGCTATCATTGTGCCCAGTATGTTGTGGCAACCTTATAAATGCTAATGAAATAGATCCACAGATTGTTAACTCTGTAATACTTTTACATGTTAAAAACCTAAAGACAGAAAAAAAGAATTTGCCATTTTGATAAGAAAAATGAAAACTACCCCACTTTTAAACATGTTTTCCAAATACAATTTAGCATTTAACATTTTCAAATGTTTTGACATCTCAAATAATTTGTAAGTAATATTACCAAAATGGCAACATTGAGTGCTTGTGAAATAAAAGGGCTGCTGGGAAGGCACATTGATAAGAACATATTCCCATCCAGCTTCCAAATTTAGCACTTTTTGCAGATGTTTATTCCTTTCTCTTTCTTCAGTTAAGTTATTATGGCTCATTATGTCTAAGGAACTAAACTAATTGAAATGTTCATTGAGACTGGAGTGCTACAGAGGAAAAAAAAAGGGGGGGGGAGTGGGAAAGGAATAAAATACACCCAAGGAAACATGCAGTGGGGGATTTTCTTTTTTTAATGTTAAACATTTTGTTTTCAAAGCTTTAAAAGGCTGACTATGAAATCAGAAACTGAAAAAAAGAATAGGAATGAGCAATTCCAAACGTACACCTTTTAAAAGATAACAATAAATCATATGTCATATATAGGCCAAAAATGAAAGGGACTTTGTACTCAATATAAACTTCTGGCAAGATCTGGTTTGTTGTCAGGTTCCCAGACACTAAATAGATGCTCTGTTCACTTAGCGTGAAGGCCCGCAAGGGGCAGGGACCTCCGGGGATTCTTGGCAGTTCTCAAGTCTCATTAGGTCTGCATATTAATGACTTGCAGCAATATAAAGAGACCCTTGAGCAGTCTTTTCTCTCTCTCCTCCTGCCTGTGTTTCCCAAGGCCAGGGCAGCCTCAGACACACCACACATGAGCCAAGTGAGGCCTGCCACCCCTGCTGCCAGGCGACGGTGGGGCGGGCACTGCCCTTTGACACAGTGCCTCAACATCTTTCAGAGGCCCATGGAGTGTGTGAAGGAATGGGTGCTCTCGAGGATCAGTTACCTTGAGAAGGAGAACCCTATCCCCCCATGGCTTAATCACTAACCATGATAGAGCTTAAAGCTCAAATGAATGAAGTTGGACCTCCATACAGTCGAACGATGGGCGTTTTTTAGAAGTGACACAAGTTAGCTTGCCTTTGCTTTGTTTCATGTGTCAGATAAACACAAAACTCAGTTGAAAGAGAAAAAGTTTAAAAAAAAATTCAAAAAGCATCCTTCATAGTTGAAATGCAAATAAAGCAGAAAGAAAATCCAAACTTTGTGACATTGTTTTCATTATTTTAAGGTACATATTTTATTTCTTTTCAGTGTTTTCTTTAATTTTTAGTAACTAGAGTTATCAGGATTCTATAAAACTTAAAGGGGACATATATACAGGAGAAGAGTAAAGTAAAATAAAGTAAAACAAAGTAAAAAATATGTATCACATTGTAACTCCCATCAGGGAATACCTTCAAGCTTACAAGCAAATACACCCAGAGGTCAACTTTTGAACATGGAAATATGAGGAATGCCTCAGAAAATGCACATTATCAAGTGTTTACTAATGTCCTGAAGCCTAAGAACCCAGATTTGGAAATCCTGCTTTCAATCTATTCATGACTTTCAATCACCATTCCTTCTCTCATCAGTGTTCAGTGGTATGTAAAATGCATTGCTCTGGAAATGAGAAAATTTGGATTTTGCTTCCCAGTCATTCACTTTTCCTCTTGTGACCTTGTATAGGTCAACCAATTTCATTCACCTTCTGTTATTTCATCCATAAGCAAGTCTAATAATAGCTTAATTGACTGAAGACTGGGTACTGGACCAGGTGAGAAATCTATGTCCTTTGTACGCAGTATAATTCCCGGAAAGAACATGATATAAAAAAGAAATGTTTCATGGTCTCACGTATTCCGCAGTGAATGTCTAACGTTCATTCTCTAAAGGAACATTAGACTGTATTACAAATCCCTTTGAGTATACAACTGTCAACATAGGATGACACCAGTTTTCTGTAGGTTTACTAACACTGAAAACTACCTAAAACATCATCCTCTGAGGATTTATTTTTTAAAGATCCACTGTAAGAGTCAGCACCGCCCTTTAGTCACACTTACCAGCTGACTGGCCGCGGTTGGTGGCGTCATGATCACTATCTCCCTGTTCACTGTCTCCATGACCGCTGTCCTTAGAACTTACTATGTCGGCTTCCTGGAATGCAGAACTAGAAGCACAGAAATGTGAATGTTAGAATCAAAAGGACTGAAGAAACACCGAAAACATGCTTCTGCCACCGCATGGTCACCTATGGTGCTGCAGATGCTTATAGCTCTTGATTTCCACTTAAAGCTAGTTTTCAAAACCTTAAGCCTAAGTCTCCAACCCTGAGCATCAGCAGTCAGTTTGAGCCCTTAAGGCATGTAAAGCTCAATCATTATTCTATGATTGGAGCTGAGCATATGTTTATATCATTTTCATAGGACAGATATATATGTATATGTCTGGAATAGTTAGGAAGATTATCAGAAGCAGTGTAAGAGTGTAAACTGAAAAAATCTTCAAATATACTTAGTGGTTGTATATAAAAAATACACACCAATATTTTTTAATTTATTGTCTAGAAAACCTAATATAATCAATATTTATGTCCTGTCCTTATTGGAAATACTTAATCATTTTCTACTTGGATATTGAATAATATACCTAATTCCTACTTTTAGTAGGTAGCAATTTGTCTATACACCAAGCTAGGAAAAAAAAAAAAAAGGAGTCCATACCTGTTAACTCGGCGAGGTCTGTCAACTAGATAGCTGAGCTCTGCTCGCTGATGTTTAGTCTAGAAAAAAAATAAATAAATCAAGAGCATTCGAACTCTATGGGTTTACCTAACAGTCTGATTTTGAGGTTAGGAACTATTTCTAGCTTAAGTAATTGTGTACATTTTTATGGAATTTCTAAGCTGTTCTAAGATCTCAGACTAGTTATTATAAAGACTAGTGCTAGTAAAGGCAAGAAGATATGCAGATTTTGCATATCTAGATTTTCAGTAAAGGTTTAAAAAATACACAAATAAGAGGCCAATTTTAAATGTGTGTGTGTGTGTGCGTTTTAAGGAGAGAATGCAAATAACCTCATAGCTGGCCCTCATAAACCATTGTCTCCAATAGAGTCAACCTAGATATATGCTGCAGTCTTTCTTTCAGTGGCCTAAAAATGTGTGCATACTGGTTGACACAAGAAAAACAGCACGCTCAATAAGCAAAAAGGTTGGATATTTTATGAAATAATTTTGTTGTTTATTTTCAAAATGTGCTTAAGATACAAATGAGCTGTACAAATATCCATGAAAGTCAATGAATAATATCTAAGGCTTAAAATAAATAAAATAACCTGCCAAAAAAGGAGTTCATAATACCGGCTTCCCTCCTGACCCCAATTCTTTCCCGCTCCAAACACACTCTGCATTCTCCTCCCCGCCTCCACCACCCCACACACACCTTTTCCGGTCCAAACTTTCTTTTACAGAAATCAACTCTGTTCCCCCTCTCCCTCCCTCCTTTCAACTTTGCCACTTCTCCATCTTAGAAAAGGAAATCGGAATTGACAAGCCAAATTCTTTGATGAAGAAAGCCAACAGCAGTGATTCATCAAAAACGATGGCAAGAAGGTGATTATTAGCTAAAAGGAATATGTAAGACAACAACTGTTGAAGCCTTTCCGTGAGTTTACGCTTACAGGGGTTTGTGCCAAAGCAACTTCATTCAAATTCACACTGTGTGGGCGTTGGGCTTCAAGAACGTCTGTAAATGCTGTCCAGAGTAGAACTGAAGGCTTTTTTTTTTTTTTTTTGCAACCCGAGTTCAGAGAACAAGGATCACTGAAACATGCATTCGAGTTTAGACAACTGTGCAAAGTTAAACAATCTATAGCTTACTTTTACACGCGACTGAAGGCATCGATAAACAAAGCCAAACAATTAACTTTTTTATGCCTGGGACAAATGCAAAGAGAAAAAAAAGGCCTTTGCCAGTGCTAGAAGGTCCCTCCCTGCATTTCCCTCTCCCCTCGGGCGCTTTCTCCTTTAGCCCCAGCTTTCTAAGAAGGGAAAGGACTGGGGTGGGGTGGGGTGAAGGGACTAGGATTTTAAAGGAAAGATGCCAGAGGGAAGAAGGAGGGTCCAAGGTGGCAAAGCACCAAAGGAGGTCAATGAAAATAAATGTGGAAGGGTGGAGCGCAGAAAATTAGGGACGACACGAAGTTTAAGTTACACAAGAAGGGGTGGGAGAGGCAGCTTTCCCTTCCTGCCCCCACAAAGATACAAATAAGCTAATATCCTAAAAATAAATACACAGTGTACCAGAGATACAAGGGCCGGGCTAGAGGAGGCTTTCGGATGGAGGAGATGAGAGATGGTGGTCCTTTCGCTTCAGCCTTACCTCGTTGGACAAAATGCTTCCGTTGGAGATGATGTCGGGCTGCTGGTCTGTGTAACCGGTGACGATGGCCCCGCAGGGGTTGTGCTCAGTGTCCGTACTCCGCGATGGGCTGCAGGGCTTAAGGAACATCAGGTCGGTTTTGGCGGACTCGGGGGTCAGGCAGACCTGGTAGCAGTAATTCTGGTTGTGGTGATGGGAGCCAAAGCCCCCGGACTCCTCCACCGTCACCTGGGCTGGGTTACTGGGTACGTTGGAGCTTTGAACCAGCATGATGTCCGACTTGCTAAGTTTCTTCTTGCGCGCCCGGGCTTGGCGGCCACAGCAGGTCGACCCCCCGCTGCCACAGCAGCAGCAGAGGCAGCAGTCGCTGGCCAGACACGTGTAGATATTCAGCTTTTTCTCTTTCTGGCACCGCACTGCAAGTACGATCATGGCCAGAAGGAAGATGAAGGATACCGAGCCCAGCGCGATGATGAGGATGAGGGTGAGGTCCAGCGACGTCTCCCCGCCGCCGGAGCGGCTGGGGCGCTGGTGCTCTCCTGACCCCCCGCCCCCGCCCCCGCCCCCGCCCTGGGGCTCGACAGCGCCATCCACCAGCTGCACCACCAAGGTGGCGGTGGACGACAGGGGAGGTTGCCCGTGGTCGCGCACCTCGATCACCAGTTCGTAAGGCCGCTGGGGGTCGCGCTTGGCCGGCACCCGGCGCGCTGTACGGAGCTCCCCGGTGCGCCAATCCATGCGGAAGAGGTTCATTTCGTTACCCCTCACGATGCTGTAGGTGAGCCGGGCGTTCTCGCCGTCATCTGCGTCCACCGCGGCCACGCGGGTCAGCAGGTAACCGGGCTCAGCCGAGCGGGGCAGCACCTCGCGCGCCGGAGTCCCGTTGCGCCCCGGAAGGGGGGCGACGATGGCAGGAGCGTTGTCGTTCTGATCCACGATGAGGATGTTGACCGTGGCGTTGCCAGCCAGCGCCTGGGGGCTACCGGCGTCCCGCGCTTCCACTTGGAAGCTGAAGTCCTTGAGCTGTTCATAGTCGAAGGAGCGCAGGGCGTACAGGTAGCCGTTCTCGGAGTTGATGGACACGTAAGTGAAGACGCTCATGCCCTGGATCTGGCACTCCAGGATCGAGTAGGCTAGCTGGGCGTTGGCGCCCTCATCACGGTCTGTGGCGCTCACCGCGTAGATGTAGGCGCCTGGCACGTTGTTCTCGGTCACATACACGTCGTAGACCGGCTGGCTGAAGCGCGGCGCGTTGTCGTTCACATCTGACACTTGCACCTGGATGGACTTACTGGTGGAGAGGGCAGGCTCGCCCCGGTCGCGAGCCACCACGGTCAGGGTGTAGGAGTCCCCGGCCTCTCGGTCTAGGGGGGCCTCGGTCACGATGGTGTAGTAGTTCTTGAAGGACGACTTGAGGCGGAACGGCACATCCCCCAGCAGCTCGCACTGCACCTGCCCATTCTCCTCGGAGTCGCGGTCGGTTACGCTGAACAAGGCCACCACCGTGCCGGGCGCCGCGCCCTCGCTCACCGCCTCCTTCACGGTGCTGAAGCTGATCTCCGGCGCGTTGTCGTTAGCATCCAGCACCCTCACTATCACCTTGCAGTGCGCAGGCACGGCGTTGGGGCCCAGGTCCTTGGCTTGAACGTACACTTGGTACACCGGGCTCTCTTCGCAGTCCAGCTCGCCGCTCACCTCCAGCCGGCCGGTGCGAGGGGACAGTCCGAAGAGCTCGCGCGCCCGGGGCGAAATGTGGCTACTGAAGGAGTACACGACCTCCCCGTTCTGGCCCTCATCTGGGTCTGTGGCGTTCAGCTGGATCACGAGCGTGCCCGGCGGCGAGTTCTCTGGTAGGGACACAGTGTAGACGGGTTGGTCGAAGGCGGGCACATTGTCGTTGGAGTCCAGCACTCGGATGGTGAGTAGGGCCGTGCCGGTGCGCTGCTGCTGGGGGAGCAGGCCCCCTCCCCCGCCGCCGCCTCCTCCTCCATCTCCGCCTCCCCCTCCTCCCCCGTCCACCGCGGTCAGCACGTAGCGGTGCACCGCTTGCTGCTCTCGGTCCAGAGGCTTCTCCAGCACCAGCTCGGCGAACCGGTTCCCATCCCCCTGGGTCTGCACGTCCAGGGAGAAGTAGCTGTTGGGGGTGATCTCGTAGTCGCGCAAGGAGTTGGTACCCACGTCTGGGTCGAATGCGCTCTCCAAGGGGAAGCGGGTGCCCGGCGTGGCGCTCTCAGAGATCTCTACGGTCAGGTCCGGCTCCGGGAAGGAGGGGGGGTTGTCGTTGATGTCCAGCACCTCGATCTCCACCCGGAACAGCTCCAAGGGGTTCTCCAGGAAGACCTCCAGGTGCAGGACGCAGGAGGGGCTCTGCTTGCAGATTTGCTCGCGGTCAATCTTCTCATTCACGTACAACACCCCGGTCTCCAGGTTGAGGTCCAAGTAAGGGGTCCGAGAGTTGGGCGCCGTTTGAAAGCCGCGAGCCGAAAGTTTTGTAATGTCCAAGCCCAGATCTTCAGCGATATTCCCCACGAAAGTGCCATGTTCCTGCTCCTCCTGCACCGTATAGTGAAGCTGGGAAAAGACTCCTTCCACCATCCAGAGCAAGGCAAAGAATAATAGCACAATCATCTCCAAAGGGAAAGGAAGCAGCTTCCCGCAGCCAGTCAGCCACCCAATCACCTCCCCCACCACCACGGGAAAAAAAAATCTCGAATAAAAAATACAAATAAAAGTGCGCTATGTGGGGGGGCTCCTGTGGCTTTCTGTCCTTACAAATCTTATTTCTTTTGCTTCATTTTAGGGTTTCCCCCAATTCAACCTCATTTTTTAATTTTACAGCAGGAAGGGTGACAGGCGGCCCCTTTCCTCATCTGTAATCTTCCCACTGACCAATTAATAAAATAATAATACAATAGTCAGCGTCCTTTATTCCGACAGTCTTGGCGCAACGCGGCGCTGGCAAATCCCAAGGAGGAAATTTCGGTATTTCAAGACTGTCCTCGGTTTGTCTTCTCGCTGATGGGAGGAGAAGGAGGAGGAGGAAAAGGAGGAGGAGGAGGAGGAAGATGAAGAGGAAGAGGAGAAGGAAGAGGAGATGCTGTTGGCACCGCTGAACATGCCTCTTACTGTCAACGGCTGGCAAATGCAAAAGGGCTTAAGAACAGCGAGGGAATTTTGTGCCGGAAAAGCATAGAATGGCTCTGCAGCATAAAACTTTCATTCTCTTCATTTCTCCGGATGGATGTTCTTGGCATTTTTTCCTCTTTCTATTTGTCTTTTTTGGTTGTCATAGTCTTGCCTCTCTCTGTCCTCATCTCCACCGTCGTTTGCCTCTCAGTAACTGTGATGAGCAGCTTCTTTTTTGCTGTTTCCTTCCCAAGCCTCTTCTTTCCTCTAACCTGTCTCTCTGCTTTTCAGTTCTTCCCTCCTCCTCCTGCCTCAGCCCTAGAGCCTGCGATCTCGGCTGGCAGTTTCTGAGCTCCGAGCGCTCCGCTTCTCTGTTTTTGCGCAGCGCCCTCATTCTGCCAACCAATCGCCGAGGAGCACCACCCACCGAGTCCGAGCTAATTGGACAAACCGGCCGTCAAGAAGGCGCGTCACGCAGTAACCGGGCCGGGCGGGATGGAACCCGCGCCTGTGCTGCCGGGGTGAGTGTGAGTGTGAGAGCGAGAACAGCCCGGCAGGTCCCGAGGTGCTAGCTGGGGACTCTGCCGCGGAAAGTTCCTAGTCCCCAGCCGCAGGTAATGGAGAGGGAATAGAGAGGTTTCCCTGTTTGCATCAGCAGATGCGAAAACATAATAGCAGCAGCGGTATCCTCTCCCAGGAGCGGGGTTTCCAATGACGCTAACATTCTTTTTCCTTTAAGGTGTTTTCCTTGCTGCTCATCGTGAAAATAAGTCACCGAGAAAAACAGGAAAAAGTTGCAGAGGGGCCACTAATTGGCAGGGGTTACCAAATTAAGGGACCCTGGCGGAGATTAGCAGGACATTTAAAAACAGATATGGCGTAGGCTGTGTCAAACTAAGTGTGAAGGTCTGAAGGGGCTGCGGGGAAAAGGGGTGAGACGGCTGGAGTGTGGAGCAGAGGTGGGTCCCAAACAGCCAGGGGATGCAAGCCCAGGGATGAACGCTGGCGGCTCCTATAGACGTGCAGACGCTTTATACTCGCCTCTTACCTACATCTACAGTATGTTACCAAAAGATTAATTCGCTGGGGGATCTGGTTTGAGCTGTGAGCCCTTTGATCAACCACTGAGGAGTTTCATTTGAGCTCTGCTTTCCAGCCCGCCAGCCTAGCGCTGACTCTCTGGCCTCGGGCACGGAGCTCTGCCGTTCGCGGCGAGGCGCCTCGAATATCCCTGCGCCTCCCCCTGCCTAGTGCAACGCAGCGGCGGCGCGCACAAGCTTTTTTCTGTTTTTTTTTTTTTTTTTTTTTCTGACAATTGGCGATCTCCTCCTCCTCCCTACACTAGACCCGAGCACCGATTCTTGCCAAGCCTGGAGCAAGACCGCAGGATGAGGGCAGCCGGGCGGCTGTGAACGCGTGTGCGGGCGGGGTTGGGGGTAGGTGCGTGGGCTGGGGCCGTGCACACGCGGGGCCCCAGTGTGTGTGAGGCTGCGAGTATCTGCGAACGCGCTTACACATCCATCCACGGCGCTCGCATCCATCCTGCAAGGTCCCGCGCACCGCTCTGTATAAGCCCCAACGGAGCATCCCCACAACACCTCCGGGTCCCCGAAGGATGCGCTTGAGGAGCTCCGAGTGCTCACTCTCGGCGAAGCGCGGGGGCAAAGCGGCGGGTAAACGCACCCAGTTCTTGTGAAGTTAAAATACTGCTCGAACTCTTCAATGCCAGAGTGGATTGAATGTTAATTCTCCAAAAAGATTTTTAAAAGCATAATTGTGTATTAATTAATGGGCTGTAGGGGGTTGTTTATTCAACCAATGCAGCTCTAGTTCAGTTGCGTTCTTATGCTACAAGATAGAAAGATCCCTTGGGGCTTCCTGGTAATGAATGACCCGGGAGTAACACCGCCACAACCTGCGGGAAAAGGAGAGTCGTTTGCCCGATCCTGAGGTATGTTGTCATTCCCTCCTGGCAGGGAATTAAAAAGGGCGAGTGGCCATGGCCGGGAGTATAGACTGAGACTTGCCTCTGCGAGTCCCGCGAGTGCCTGTCTGCTGCTCTAGCCCCCCCCCCCCCCGCCCCCCATTGGCTCTTTCATGGAGATAGGTCCAGCCTTTGAGCGGTTGGAAGGAAAGGATGCCAGCAAAAATGGCTAATCCTTTTCCAGCTGCAGTAAACTGACGATTGGCCAAAGCCCAGCGAAAACCGCTGCAGTTAAAATGATTTTAGCGTCACGTCTGCAGCTGAGAATGGAGCGTCAGTTTTTAAAAGAACCTGTGGATCAATGAAAAGGAGATTATAGTGTATCTGAATATTAATAATGGCATTGCATCTGTACTTTCTCCCCCTCCCGTTCCTGATTTTTCCTTAGATCTGCAGGATTGAAATGAAATGTTTTGAGGTCTTCAAGCTGACTCATCAGAATAATCCTGGAGCATTTTTTAAATGACGGTAATTTTCTAATATTTCACTTGTACGTACGGAAACACTTGTGTGTGCGCGCGTGTTTGCGTGTGAGAAGCATGCGGCTGAATGACAATGCAGATCCAGAAACTGCGGGAGGGGCTTTGTCTTGTCAAAACATAGATGAAGTTTGAGCAGACTTTGGACGTTCGCTTAGAGCCAGAGAGCTTCCAGAGGTGGAGATGAGAACGTGGAGAGATGGCCAGATTTGCCTGTAAATAATCACTACATCCACTGTAATACTTGAGCTGCATTTTTTTTTTTTTTTTTTTTTTGATAGCAGTTGTGTTCGAAAGGGAAACTCTTTCCACAAACGTGGGTTACAGGCGTCTCCTAGCGGCGAAAGCGGCACAGGACAAGCCAGCGAATTTTGCTTTGGGGCTCTGGTTCGGCTGGGCCGGCCTGTTGGGGGCTCTGCAGGATTTCTTGGGTCGCAGAGGCTAGGATCCGCGCCGGCGACGCCGGCCGGGGTCCTCTAGAGGTCTCGCCTCTCTGGCTTCAAGTCTCCGAGGCGCCCTGGAATCGGCGGGGTGACGACGGGGTCTTCCTCCTGTGAGAACAAGCGCGAGCCGTCGGTCCGCCTCCCTCTACGTTGCTCCAGCCAAGGGTAATTGCAAGAGCATGTTGTCCCGGGCCGCGATTCAGACATTGGCTTTAGCAACCTTCTCTGCCTCCTTACCCTGGCACCATTAAACAGCCCCACCCCGTCACCCAAGGAACAAAACAGCACTTTAAATCTGTCTTTAAAAAACGCCTCTTAAATAAAACCCGGGTACTTTCTTCGTTGCCCTGTCAATGGAGCAGATTTCCCCCTTTGGTTTTTCACTTGGCGGACCCCAGAATTTAGTGAGGCCGTGATTACATAAATAACAGCCCGGGTGGTGGGGCTGACAACCTCTTTGAAGTACAGAATATCTTATAATGCAGCGTCCTTCACCCCCCTCCGCCCCCGTAACTGAAACCGGCGGGGAGAAGCAATCCCTAATATAACCCTCCTCCCTCCCCACGCCCCCTCCGGGAGCCAACTCTCTGGGCCAACGCAAACTGTATCCTAAAACAGATGGAGGAAAGTAGCTATTATTATTATTTGGAGGGTTGGTTATCAAAATCAGTCTTCATAGAAGTCCTCGTTGGTGTGTGAGTGATAAACCATCCTTGTTAATTTCATTGTCCTCTAAGGGCAGCAGGCAGGGCGGGCTCTAAGAATCTCACAGTCACGTTTTCTGTACACAGTAGTTACAAACTTTGTTTTTTTTTTTTTTTTTTTCTTTTTCAAACTTTGAAACTTAACTAACGGGACTGCTTTCCTCCCTACGCTTTTCAGGGAAAGGCGGAAGGGAAACAAGTTTGTTAACTAGCATTTGGATGAATGAGTGTTTGCAGTGATTTAACTTGACTTGAAAGCAATTTGTTTCTAAATCCTCTTATTATTGCAGTGTGCCCAGAGCTTTGAGAGAATTCTTTTTTAAAGAAATAGAAGGAAAAAAAAAATTAAATTGTCAATAAGGAGTCTTTCAAATGCCAAACCCCTGCCAGGGTTGAGCTGGGTGGTTCACTGCACTTATTATTCCCAGCAAGCACAGTGCAGAGAGCAAACGCAAAAGACCTGGGCTGTATGGCAGCTCTTGTGGGTAACCATTAAATCGGTTTATTTGTAGCAGTGTAACCTAACTTCAGAGGTGGGAAGGCAAGGCTTTGGAACCAATGCCATTCTGTTCATTTTTGTTCATCTCCAGCAGAGTGAGTATTGATGAGAGTTGCTGGAAAAGATTTATAGCATATACATGCTATATGTTATAAGCATTCAGGTAACTCTTTAGTTACTGTGTTCTAATGCTTTGAACCCAATGGAAAACAAACCAACCTGTTTGGGGGACTGAGAATACTAGCTATTAAGTGTTACTTGATATTCAATGTAGAAATGTTTTTTCCATTTTGTTTAACCTTGTTAATATTGGTGTGGCTTCACATTTCAGTGTCTTTTCAGTTATCAGACAGGGCCATCATTTTGTTAAACTCTAAACAGTGAATTAAAAGC